ATTTGAAGGGATTTGAAGAGATTTGTAAAAATCTCACTGATTTGTTTGACCTTTTTGACAAGTCAGCCATTTTGATTTGAGAAGATTCATAAGGATTCATTGAGATTCAAAAGTATTTGAATTTGCTCGAGATTTGAGATTCCTACAGATTTGAAAAGATCTAAAAAGATTCAAGTTTTAAATGTTGTGTCTATCCCCTAGGGACGGAGAGAGGAAGAGAAAGAGAGAGAGGGGTTTTGAGTGTGGCGTTGGACTGATAAAATTGAATTCAAAGAATCGAACCAGATAGTTTAAAGTAGATTTTAAAAAAAATTAAGCGTATGATTCAAATTTATAAGGTCAAGAGGCTGTATTAAACCGATAGCATTGATGCTGGGCTGAAACTCATAACGATCTTGAAGATGTTGAACCATTTTGTGCACAAAAGCAGCTGTCCAACTTTTTTTTTATCAAATCAAATTGAATAATATGCATGTATGCAATAATTATTAGCAATGAAAATGGCAGAAAATTTGAAAACTGAAAAAAAAATGTGTCACTGTTGATTGTATCAATTAATTTGTACCATTTGAATTACGTAAGTCGATACAAATGAGCCAAATATTTGTAAGTGGTCATCTTCAAAGCAATGATGACTCAAAGCAACAGCCGATTCAAGTTGAAAGCCAAACAGAGTTTGTTTTGAAATTGTAATAATTCAGAACATATTATTCTCGAGCCACAGAAAAGCGATGGTTTCCAGCAAGAGCTCCTAGATTTGATCATTTCATTAGTCAATTAATAGAATCATTAATCAAATGTTTTGTTGAGCACTCTATTCAAACATTTCTGTTTTTCTTCTTCAACACTTTGTGCATATAATGGTGCTAAATGCTACAAATGAATTGGATTTAAACCAAGGGGCGAATCGTTACTGAATGGACTGATAAAATTAACGGATAACTGAAAAAACTTCAAATTCAATCATGAACAATTTCTTCTACGAAGACGATCGATACACATTGGAATTTGTGCTTTAAATCAAATAGTATTCGGTAAAAATATCATTAAATTTGAGGAAAAATCAGAAAATTAATCACGAATGTAGCCCAGGATGAGTCTACTAAACAGCCTACATTCAAAGGAACATTTTTTGTTGTAATATTCTCTCTCCAAACAATTTGGAGGTAATCTGACTATGATATTCATCATTTCTCAACAGTTGAGATAGGTATTCAAGTATGGGTTGACAGAAAATTCTACGTATATCCGATTTTTAGTCAATCTACACCAACAAAAAGTGATGTACAGCAAACTTGAGAGCAGTCCCAGCTTTTTGAGAGCAACATTGGTGATCAATCTCTTACAAAAATTGGATGCAAAAACCCAGGCGAGTATATAAATAAAACTCTCAGAACAAAATATTATTCATCTAGACATAACTTATGTCACATAAGCTTCTATAAACCCATTCAATAATGCATATTATGTTAAAAAAAAGGTGTGATTTTGTAAACTTCAACTGATCTAGTACTGTAGTTCCTATGCATTTGTATTTATCCTCTACTCAGTACCAAAATTCAAATCCATCTACGATAGTAGCATGCAAATTGAAAATAAAAAAACTTATAAAATTATCCAGAAATAATTTTGACCATATGGTTTTTTTTTCTTTCTATTTCTGCATTTTAATAATAATGTTCGGAACCAATGGCATTTCTTTGCCCTAGGTGGTTTATTTAAATATTGTATAATGGATAAATAAATCAATTTGGTATGCAATAATTATTTACAGATTTCTGCCCTTGAAGAAATTTTTTTAGCTTATTTTTTACAAATTCAATAGTTTGATTAAAATCATAATGTTCAGCATATTTATTGAATTTAGCCACCATGTTATTTAGTGGGTCTTTGGAATTTATTTCCGAACACATAATCTAAATAAAAAGAGTGATGAAAGTGAAGTTAAATCAATAGGACTGATTTAATTGAGATGTAGATTTCATCTCGTTACTTAAAAACAAAATGAAAAGCTCACACAAAAAATCAGAAGTAAAATAGAAATGGGCCGAAAAAGTCAAAGCGCAAAAAAATAGAAGCAAATTGTGGAAAATCGGTCAAAATGCTGATATCAGTACAAAAGAGTATGATTGATAGATACTAACCAGCCTTTATACATAAAAAAAAGAAATGCTTTAAGGAGATAATCATTACAATTACAACCAGTTTTATAAAATGAGCCTCATTTTTTCTTCATTCGCTCCCTTTTAATTGGACATTCGCTGCACTGTTCGCTTTTCAACAAAAAAGAATTGTCGCCGACTAATATTTAATGACGTTTTCTCAATATCAATTGAATAGAAAGAATTACGTTCGTAATTCTTAACTTTTACCTTTGTCTGTTCTGTCGCCATTTTATACCACCCTTTTCCGTACCGTTGTTCAAAACTTTTGCATGCATTTTTTTTCTCGGTATAATCTTTTTGTCTTTTTTCTGAAAATAAGAACAATCATAGTGGACAAACAGATGAATGTTTTTTTTCACGTTATATTAACCCTCTAATGCACTAATTTTTCCCAGGGCTGGGAGTACTGGTACTTGGTTGATTTTTGGCCATAGATATTTAAAAAATATTCATAATCCTGGATTCCTCATGGTTCAGTCAGGGAATGCGATTGACATAAATCAGAGAACAATCAAATCCATTGTTTAAAAGTGTCAAAAATGTGTCTAATTTCGAGTTCGAATAATTTGTTTTGTCAAATTTTTGTTTTTGCACACATTTTTGTTTATAACTTTACAATCAGACTACATAGACAAATATTGCCAAAGACAAATATAAAGAGAAAACATTGACGAATAAAAATTCTCTTTGAAGCAATGTGATCCGATGTACGGTTTACGTTCTACAGGCGTTCAAATGTTGCCCGTCTAGAAGCGGTTGTATGCATTAGAGGGTTAAAGTATTCTCAATATACATAATATCTGAAGAAAATTCGATTTGAGATCGAATTTATTGAGAAGTGAATGTTTCATCGTTTGAAAGCCCTTAAATTTATTTTTGTAAAAAATTGAAGAAAATTGCATATTTACGTTGCCCACAGTGTGGATCCCACACCATACAAAAATGTTAATTTCCAGAAATTTTAGATATATTAGAAAAGACTTGCAATTGATCAAAGTCAAAGCATACCAAAATCTATACAGATCACAATATTTGGGAGCACAATAGTGCTTACAAACAACCAAATTCGACAGCAACCGAACGAAAGAAGAATGTATGCAACTTGTGATTTCTAGTCCTTTTCCTGCTTTTTATAACAAAATACACTAATGCGGAGCGAAAAAAGAAAATGCCGAAACCAATTCCTATACTTCCCCTGTACACATTGTGTGCATACGGAAAAGTGTGGAAAAGTAATAAGAAGAGAAAAAAAATGTTCGACACATTTATCATTTACATATCAACTAGCGACAAATTCCATAGAATCAATGGTGAAACAACCCTATTTTTCCCCGTTTTGTTCGCCGAACGTCGAACGGATATTTACATTGAAAAATTTAATATCAATTATGGAATGAGAGAGAGAGAGAGAGAGAGAGAGAGACAATGGACATTAACGCAATTTGTAATTCCGTTCCGCGAAATCGAATCGACTTAGACTTGTTTACATACATTTATAATGACTTACCCAAGCAACGATGGAAGTTGAGTGATTGGATTTTAATCGAAGACAATATGGCTGTCATGTTTTCTTCGATGGTTTTTTTTTTCTCTTTCTTCGATAATTGTTAACAATGAATCTGAACAAATATTACGAGCGAATCGTTTTTTTCTTCAATTTGTCAAATAGACCGTTACGTTTAATTTTAAATTTCAATCAATTTAAATATTCTATTCATTTTCATTCAAAATCGCAGTTATATAGGTAAATAATCACTTTGTAAGAAAATGATTGAAACCTTGCGTAACAATAATATTATAATGTATGCATTTCAAATTGGCAATGGAAAAAAACTGAAAGTATTTCAAAGATGTATTTTTACGTTGAGCAAAGAAAAAAAAATGAAATTTGAGCTCATCAAAAGCAGTGCCAAATGAAATATTCAAATGAATGTAGGGCGCTTGTACACTAACTGCTGTTTTTTTTTCAAACTTGAAATTCGAACAACAATAATATTGCGGAAAAACCACTATTCACACACACATCAAAAACGTCGAAATGTGTGAGAAATTGCGAAACAAGTGGCCGCAGCAAGAACAAATCATAAAGTGATTTGAGCTCATAAAAGTCCTTTGGAATAATTGATAACGACTGATATCGTTATTTTCGAGTTGATTGTAGAATGCACCTATTCTACCTTTAATGGATAAAGGCAGTTTTACCGTTGATAATGTTGATTGAAGTGTAGATAACTGGGTCGTATATATGGTAAATTATAGACCCGTTGAAGAGGAAAAAAACCGGCTATATAGCTATTGAAACATTGACATAAATCATGGGAAAAAAAGATGTCTAATGCCTGGTGTCCATTTTAAAATGTTTGCGATTATTTTTACTAGCGCCTATCCGCTTGACACTCAATGTAACAACGTATGACGAACGAAACTAAAAAAAAAACAACAACAACAACAACAAGTGAGTGTGGCAAGAAACGAGCTCACGGGAACTTCAACACACAAATCAAACACACAGACGGTATGAATGATAAATGCATATCAGATTCAATATGCACATTTGTGGCGCAGTTATCATTTAGAGTGGTCGCATGGTACCCGGACAAATTTGACATCTTTTCTACCCGTTCTTTGCTTTCTACGGTATATTCATATATGAATCATTCATGGCATATTTTTTTTTTTTAAATACATACACATTCCATACAGCAATAGACGAACGGCTAAAATCGATTGTTTGATTTTTCCCACCCGTCTTTGGTGCAGAGCCGTGCGAAACTATGCATTGAAAAAGAATATGCCAATGAAATGATGCATGGTATAAAACGGTAACTTGTTTACCTGGGCGATGTTGATGGGGATGGTGTTGGTATTGGTAATGGTTGCGATTCACAATTCCGTTGTTTGCTACTTATTTGCAAATCTAATGGACTCTCTCTCGCTTGTAGACTATCAATTGATGGTCTATGATATGCAGGATATGAATTCCCGAAAAAGTGTGGCGCTGTCATCATATTTCCTGGATTGTTTGCGATTTTACACAATTTATAATGTCTGCGTTACCATTCGGCCTATTGTTATTGAACAAAAAGAGACAATGAAATCGATATATTACTGTCAAGGCTCTTTTCTGAAATTCAAACTTAAATTTAAAGTGTTTAACATTTTGAATTGCTTTGAAGTCTACTGTAGTTAGTAAGCAGTAATTAATTAATAGGTATTAAGTTGGTTAGATCTTATCTAATACAAATCTTCTACGAATCGCTCAGTTTTTTTTTAAATTTTTTTCTTCAGCAAAATCTCAGAAAAATTCAACGGAATTTTTTAAATGCAGAGAAAGCAAGTACAAAAGAGAAATAAGAAAGACTTCAAAGAATTTCCTCATTTGTTTGTGTTTCACAGCACAGCCACACTTGACAGAAACCCACAGAAAAACGCGAAAGTGGTTATGCGTTTTGCGTATTATATGTGGTTTAGTATCTACATATACAGTGTCGATCAAATGTTTGAACACGATTGAAAAACAAAATCACATTTTAAACAAAAAAATATACGACTATTTGGAAAATTTCCGTATTTTTTTTTTATGTAGATTCGAAAATCTTACGGAACCCGAACATTTAATCTCTTTTATTGAGCGTATTAATGAATTGGATGAATTTCATAAAAAAAAATTAGCTCAATTTTTTTTCGACCAAATTTCTCAAAAGTGATTCATTAATACCTTCAATGAAAACAGCTAAAATGATCTAGTGTTGTAAGTTTTAGGAATTGACACCAAAATATCCACATTATTTTCAATCGAAAAAGTCTCATTTTCATTTTGTGAAAAAATGTAATTTTCCCAATGGTATTTAGGATTTTTGATCGGCACTGTACATGTTGAATTGCGGCTAATTGCCTACAAAGCGTAGTTTAGCCCGTTTTACTAATGGCTTTCAGAAGTTAAAACAACATGCGGGTGCTTAGTATGCACAAAAGAATAATTGCATGCGTAAGGAAAGGCTTTATCCAAAATGGAATGACGGCTTACAAAATGTTTGATGTTCGTTTATAAGTGCAACATTTTCAAACACTAAAGCGTTGCTTCCATTCAGGAAAATCATTTGTTACAAGCACTTCTTTTGCCGACAGTAATTACAGCAGATGAAAATAAAAATGGAATTGAATGCAATGTATAGAGAAAAAAAAACTGAATCTAACAAAAATAATCAAGTGGAACTGTTGAATAAATTAACCACTAACTTTTCATAATTATGTGAATTAAAATGAGTCTATTTGAAATGATGAATAAATAAACGAAATGTAAATTAAAAACTAATAATCGACAAGTGGATTGGTTTGTTGCATTTTTTTGTTGTGCTGTTGCTGTTACTGTTGCTGGTTTCGTTCGCATTGCATGACGAAGATTAGATTACCCGATTATTATTACGGAACACACCGTAATTAATCGATTTTCCGGACAAACTGATTTCACACATTGATTTGAATAAAAAGAATTTCATATTAGTTCCGTCGGTCTATTTTCTCCATGTGATTCGACTTGAGAATTTTCCGTTCCAAAGTCGATTGCGTATCAAAATTTTTATCATTTTTTCCTTTCAATTTCTTGTTCTCTCCATTTCAATTAACCTTTTTTTCCAATTCATATAATCTGCTGTAAAATTTTCAATTGAAATTTCAACAAATATCAATGCCATCATTGGAAATAAGCACAGAGTCAAAAACAGTCATTTTCTAACTAAAAAGTTTTTAGCATCGATGCCTTCTCACTCCTTTCCTTCATTCGTATATATAAGTTACGAAAGTTTTGTGTATGTGTATTCACATGAAAAAAAAAAAATATTTATTTTTGCGGCAAACCAACTAGTTCCGATATACATCTATATGTGGGGATGCATGTACTACGTCAACTTTCTTTCTGGAATATGTTGACTATACATATATGTGTGTATGTATTGATTGTTTACATTTACTGGTAAATGCATTATTGGTACGTTTCTTTGTCGGAGCATTGCCAATTTTCTTGTGTGTGTCAACTTTGGAAAATGAATAGATTTGAAATGTTTGAATAACGCATCGAATTTAACACAGAGATGGAGAGAAAGACGACGAGAAGATGGGAGAAAACTAGAAAAAAAATATTGTAAAAAATCAATGGGGCTTTCGATGAATGCAAAAGAAAAACAACCCATTTATAAGCGACAAGACGCATGATGAACCGCTCAATCACCTTTTTGCACAAATTCTCCAAATGAATCGTTATTGACCACAATAATATTGCATGTGTCCATTTGTCGTATGCATCCCACATGTATATATATATATATATATCAGAGGGCAGCGTGCGCCTTTTTAAAATCGAACGCATCACAAAAAGACCAAAACTATCTGGATTCAAGTAAAATGCATTCAATGAATAAAATGACGCGTCACCATGTGTGCGCGGTGTACATGCATAAACAGCTCTCGATTATATAACGGAGAGAATTTACTGTGTGGGCTATATGCGTGCTGGTGCACCAACACGTATTTGAAACAGAGAATCCACTTCCCAAACACACATGATATTGTCCACATTAACATTGGATTGCTTGCTTGTTTGCTGGCTGGTTGCCTGGCTGCTAGAGTGTAAAATTTCAATAGCTTACAACACACAGGATTATATTGCGGTATGTGCGAAATGATTTTGTGTGACAATGAGGCCACGACCAATTATTATTGGAATTCATGATTAAACCGTCAATATTTATGATCACGGTCAATTTCATTGCAAATGCAAAGAAATTCTTTCATTGATGAAAATCGTATCGCAATATATCGATATATTCTCTGTGCATCGAGCTAGTGTACTTCCATTGAAGTATTTAGCAAATTAAAAAGAAAAGAAAAAAACAATTGATTGTTCCAGTAAAGTTAAGACAAAATTAATTATCGCTCCAATAATTCGTTTTGAAGCCTGAACATAACGTTAATACAATTATAGCCGAGCTTTTTTTTCTCTTTTCAAGCTAACAATAACAATACAAAACAACAAAAAAAAAGACAACAAAATGAAGGAAAACCAAACGAATGCACAATGCCCGAAGAAACGAGCATGGAATATTATGATGCGAATGAATATTGATATTATTATAGCATTCGGATTACATATAATATGCGTGCGTTCAATATCGATTAATGAATGCTGTTGATGAAAACCTGTTTCACTGTATGTTCCTCTTGTTGTTGATGTTATGCTGTGTAGCCGCTTCTGCCGTCGTCCTCTTCTTCTTCTTTCTCTTTTGTATTCGTTTTGAGTGTCAATTGGCAACAGGAAGTTCAATGAGGAAAAAAAATATCTATGTTCACTTTGCGTGTGAGAGACATACAAAGAGAGTCTTTTATGTGCTTTTACACTTATTTCCTGCTTACAACTGTAACAAAAGCACACAGAGTAATGTCACGTCACGTCACGTCACGTCACAAACAAACAAACAAACAAACAAAACCAAACCTCACAAGACTTTAATTTACTGTCGTGTGCTGGTCTCTATTATTATTTCGAGGTATATTTCTTCTTTTCACATAGAAATGTGTATGTATGTGTTTGTTTGGTTGTGTTCTTGCCTCAATGCAATTTTTTTTAAAACTTCTTCTTTGTGCTGTAGTTTTATGAAAAAAAAACTTATTGTTTTTTTTTAATTATTATTCCATTTAACACAGTTATTCACATCTGAAATTTGAAAAGGGAGTGAGTGAACCAAGTAAAAAATTGCCGATTCAGCTTCGATTAGTTGCATTCAAGGTGAGTTCAGTAGTCAATGTAATTTGATATGATAATAATATGAACCGGGTGAAAAACGAAAAACGCAACGTAGAAAGGGAATAATTGCAAATTAAAGTGCCGTGTACACATAAAGTTACAAGAGATTTTGTTTTAAATATAAAATTCAAATGTTAGTGAGTTAAAAAACACAACGCGGAAAAATAAGACAGCGAAAGCAACGGATTTTTTTTTTGATCAAAACGAACACACGAAATTTTACGTTTTGTTTATGCGGTAAATTATTTTTAGGGGCGTTTTATTTTTTTATTATCATATCTCTCTCTCTCTCTCTCTCTCGAAAGACGTTTAATAATTTCATAATTACTTGAAAAAAAACCTCGCGTTTTATCTATTTGTGATGAAATTTTACGTATTTATGCATACACATGTTCCAATCAATCCAAACAAAACAAAAATGTTTCTATTGTTTATATTTGTCATTTTCCCGAGAATCCAAAATTAAAATATAAAAGAGAAATTAGTGGCTAGAATACCTTTTAATTAACAGAAAAAAAAACCAAATTAAATCAATCAATAAGCTGAAAACTGATAGAATGCAAGTTCATGAAAAATTTTATATGCACGCGCTACGTTCGTATGATTTTATTTCTCTTGACTCAGTGTGTTTTATTTGTTTTTTTTTGTGTATTCAATGTAGGATATCATTGGTGTTATGAATCAGTTTTGTGAAATTGGTTCTATTTTGTTTTGAGGATTTATGTCCTTTTACTTGCAATTCTCTTGATGTACTAAATTTTCGAGAAAAATTTTCAGTTGAATAAAATTACTCAGAGCCCAATGTGTGTTGTGGTGGTGTATATTATCTGCTCTTCACGCTGGATGCGAAATGTGGTGTTACTGTTATGTTTATTTGTCTAAATTGCACAATCACACACATACACGTTTTTCATCCAATATCGTTGAGGCGCACACTTCGTGCAAATGTATTGGAGGCTCGTTTGCCTCTCTATCGCTCATTTCCATCAAGTCATCTCATTTTGCCGCTCGTATTCGATCAGTGTTTTTTGTTTCAGTTGCACGCGCCTTTCACTCTCTCTATGTATTCTGGAATATATGTGTTGGAAAAAGGGATGCATGGGGCATACACACACACACACACACACACACGAGTCACATTGCACAACTATAAACCATTGCATGCAAAAAATGAAGAAAAACCAAAAGAACAGAACGTACTACCTAGCGCAGCGAAACACAGCAACAGCAACAGCAACATCAACCGAACAAACATAGCGACGACGAAATGGGACAGAGCGAATCAAGTGACACACAGGAACAAGGAAGAAGGGTAACTCGATTCAGCCTGCGAAACTAAACCGATAATATGCTCCATGTGTGTCGCTCTGTTTGTATACAAGAAGAACGAAAAAAAAAACACAACAAACTTTCAACCCGATGTGGCATATACAATACACAGATGCATCAACATCAACAAACACAGTACATAAATTGAACGCGTGCGTCCATACATAAGCTCAAGCCTCTGCGACTACTGACTTGAATCGGGGTGATAACGGGGTGATAGAGAGCCACAACGCAAAAGATAGAGAACAACACAATGGAGAGAGAGGGAGAAAGAAATAGAGATATCACTATGGAGAAGCAATTTACAACGGATACTATATATGTATGTGGAAAGAGAGCAAACAAGCAAGCAAGCGAGCAAATGAGCCACACTATGTGTATGTGTGCATATTGCATACGTCGATCTACATAATGCACCGCTACTTTCTGCACAACGCTTAATTCCTTAAAATTGCAACACAATCGAACACTGAAAAAGGAGTCACACAACACACAGCTACACGGCCGCAGACTAAAACGCATAACCCATGACCCACACAATCGAACCGTGTACTGTGCACACACAACACACTTTCGAGTCGTCGTTTTCTGATCGGTTCGTTCGTTCGTTCGTTCGCTCGTTCGTTTGATTCTCGCTTGCATGCATGCTTGCTTGCTTGCTCGTTCGCTCGTGCCTGCAACTGCATTCATGTTTAAAAGAAAGGACACATTCCACTCGCATCGGACACAGAGGCAAAATTTATTATATCCCCATGTCCACACAAATACACACATACATTTCTCTTCTTGACACAACAAATCTGTGCAGTAATGAAATAATATTTTGCACAATGATGCTGTTTGTGCTGTGTAGCGAAATGTGTTTTACACAGATCTCCACCGGATTTTATGCGATTGTCACTTCGAGTTCGGTACAAACGAAATATTTTCCACTTCAATTGGTGGTCAAGAAACTGTCGTCTCATTAAAGTTTGATAATTTATAAACTGTTTACACTTCCCCGGGCCGCTACCAATGTGCATGTCTATAGAAACATGTACACCGACATCATCGCCATTAAAAAGAAAAAACCACAATAAAATAAAACAAAAACAAGACAAAAATTTAATGAATTAATAAGTATACACAAACTTTTTTTCTGCATAAAAATCGGATATCACACAATATTCAAACCATATATCCCTCCAATCATTGCTTCTACACCCTCTACAGTACTATTATCCATCATGAATACCAATGTATGATGTGGTAGAAACACAGCCAAGAGAAGAGAATTTGAAAATAAAAATGCACAGCAGGGCAAGAGAGAATTTCATGCGCCTTTCGTATACACTTTAAAATCGACAGAGAGCTGAACAATTCCAACTACCGAACAACTCTCATACACACACACACACACACACACATTGTCACTCGCATAAAATATACTGCAACATCATCATCATCATCTTCGTCGTCGTCGTCGTCGTCGTCGTCGTTGTCGCCGCCATTCATACATTCAAACCATTTCGAAATTCAAGCAAATTGTATTTGATCAGTTTGGCAACAGGCACGAAGCCCTCGAATTCGTAACAATAATGGTAATACGGTTAAAAATGGTTGCTAAATGAAAATTAAACACATGAACATGGTAAACGTATACACAACATCATAAACATACCAACAACAAAAAGACCTATCCGAATCTCCCGAATGCATCGGACATGGAAAATGCGAAAGAGAAAGCCGATATTAAATTATGTTCAATTCGATGAAAGCTAACTGTGATATCTACATAAACAAGCCGATTCATTTGGTAGCCAGCAAAATTTCAAAGTCGTTTCTCGTGCCATCTAAAAATTGAGTGTGTGTATGTTTCTCTTTCTCTCTCTCTCTCTCTCTCTCTCTCTCTCTCTCTCTCTCTCTCTCACTTGTTCCTTCCCCGTTGCATTGTAGTCTAGTATTTTGCAAACTATTCTCAATCTATTTATGAGGATGCATATTTTAATGCGAACATTTGTTATTTAGTGATCTCTAAGATTTCGCAAAAATTATTGACGATTGAACCAATGCACACTTTAGATAAGGTAATTGGTGAGCTGGCCAGTTCGTCGTGGGCACGGTATGGGCATGGAAACAAAAGAAGAAGAAGAAAACGACCAATTTAAATATTTGCTCCATCGAATCGTCGTCGATCGTTCCGGTCCAATGTTCCGAATCAACGAATTTACCTCGTTCGGCAAATAGGAGTAGTATAGTCTACCTTCCTTTCCAGCGGTTTCACAATACCATTTTTACAATCCACTCGAAAATTGTGGGAAGTGGTAAGCAAATAAGATAGGCAATAATCGAATCGAGAGAAATTGCAATAATAAAGAAATGCCAACAGAATATTTCGAGCAAATAGCAAAGGACAACGGACGTGTGATGCATATCTAACTAAAGCGAGAGAAAAAAAAACAAATGCAACACAAGACGAAGAAAAGGAAGAAGATGAATTTTTTTTAAAAATAATATATAGTATTTGAGTGTTGTGATTTCACTTCCTTGTACAATGCTTCGTTCGCTGTCTCTCTTTCTGTGCCATCAGAGTGCTGCAGAAAAACCACTCCGGTTTTTTTTCTTCTAAATATTCCATTTTTTCGTTAAACAAAATAAATTACCATCTTAATTTTAATAATTTCGAATTGCCAATTACAATTTCAACCCTTCAAACCATCTCCACGTGAAGCAAACAGATGATTTATGCTTCACCCTCTTTGGCATTGGAAACAGTGTAGTGATCAGTTTTGAAAGACCAAAAAGTGGGGCAAGCATTTGTCATTTTGTTGGTTTCGATTGCTAGAGTAACAATTAAAATTGTTGGTATGATTTGGTTAATATTCCATTTTGTAATATCAAAATCACATTGTGTGTGTGGATTGTGGAATGTAAAAAATAAAGCGCCATCTGTGTCATGAAGCTTTTGTTCGTTTAAGTCCAAATGCATTCAATTTGAACGATCACAAAACGTTCAAAACTATTAGCCCATATATAGTATTGCATAGTTCATCTTTCATGGGCTTGGTGGCGCCAATATTATGATAAACGTCAAAATATAGGATTGTATACATTACACATTGTTCAGTCCGGTAGTATGAATATATCAGTGAAATCATTAATTAAAGCATTCATTTAATTGGGTGTTTCGTCAAGTTTTAACCACCGTCTTCCCCACAAAAAGTACTTGACAAACGAATGGCTTTGCAATACGGTGATCATATTTCAAATCAAGTTCCATGCTGAATATAATAGCATTTTTACAATGACGAAGGCAATGAAAAAATAAACAATCAACCCAAATAAAAAGGAAGTCGAGTTGGCAACGCTAGGGGTTTTCCCCTAAAGATTTTCATTACTGTTCCATGGAAAATAAATTCTATGAATGGTGCCAAAACACGGATACTACCGAATTTCATGCAATTTTCCCAATTTCTTGGGAATTGTAATGAAAATGAATGAAAATTACCATTTTGGTCTCAAATCTGTCGTACATAACATTTTCATTAAATGCCATTAAATCTACAGTCGCTTCATTACATTTAATTTAGATGAGTAATTCTATTCGACTGCATTTTTAGCGAAACCGCACGCGCCTCTAGGCCCCTTGATCCAAAGTAAGAATTGACTATTTTTGTATCACTCTAGTTACCATGTACCTGCACCACTCTATAGCTTCATGGTGATGCCATATCCAGGCGAACACACAAATTGGCAGCAAATACAACATAATGTGGAAGCGAAAACGTTGTCGCTGGATCGGCTAAATATGAAAAGACGGCAAAAGAAACGAAAACAACACAAAAAAAAACAGCACACACACACACTACGTTCCTTTCCTTTCCAAACACGGCTATTTCTCCCACTCATTATACATACTACATCTAGATATACATATCGTTTTCTCGAGTGAATGCGTAGAGCCGAACTGTTACTTGTAAATGTGTTTGTATCTATGTATATTCATTGGAAAAATCCGAGCGGCGCTACTGTCTGCACTGTGCATAAATACGGTATAGTACAAACCGTATAAAGGCACTAGCTACAACAGTAGCTAACAGCAGCAGCAGCAGCAACGTGACAATAGAGAGGGAAACGGAAAAAAGGGAATCAAATACGATGATGGGCGTCGCGACAAATACCAACGATAAATGTGCGCTTTTGTGTTGAATGCATTTTTAACGGTGTGTAAATCTTTTGTGCGTGTTCGGATCGGGAAATTTCATGTTCTCTCTATCAAAAAGTTTTACGAAACAAAGCTTGCTCACTCTCTCTCTCTCTCTCTCTCTCTCTCTTTCTATCTATCTCTTTCTTGCTTCCGTCTTGTGTTTCGTATATAGAACGATAGAAAAAAAAAAACCGGTGTGTGTATAAATTTGACATCGTTGACAAGATGATAGTGGTGAC